ATCTATCTATCTATCTATCTATCTATCTATCTATCTATCTATCTATCTATCTATCTATCTATCTAATTTATATGGCCGCCCACTCACTCTCAGTGACTCTTGGTGGCTTACAAAAATAAAAACTCAATATACAAACAATAAAAACAATAACCCATCAACCTCCTGACGACAGCAGTCAGTCAAGCCACCCACTTGATGGGCTCCGTCCCACTCTGGGTTCCCCAGGCCCATTGGCAAAACCAGGTCTTCAGAGTCTTACGAAAGCGTGTCAAATTGAGGGCCAATCTAATCTCTATGAAGATGATGTTCCAAAGGACGGAGCCACCATGGAGAAGGTCCTTCTTCTGGGTCCCACCAGCTGGACCTCCTTAGGAGACAGGGCCTGCAACGTTCCTTGCCATCCTCCTCTGGTGGGTTGGATGGATGTAACCAGGAAGAAATGATCCTTCAGATAACTGGTCCCAAATCATGAAGGGATTTAAAGGTCACATGAATTGAACTGCACCCGGAAGCAAATTGGCAGCCAGTGCACTTATGCACACCTGGTTTTGCACACAACCATGCAAACTGCTGCATGGTGAACCAATTGGAGTTTCTGGATGCTTTTCAAGGGCAGCCCCATGTAGACCGTTTAAGGGTACCAAAAAGGTTTATGGAAGTAGGGAAGATCGTAAGGTTCCTCTCAAGTTCAAAAGTTTGCAATGGGTCCTGTAATATTTTAGATGAATTGAGACTGCAAATTCCCCAAACTGCCAGCTATCACGGGTCTTGAATTTATTTTGCAAAAGCTCTGTCCAGCACCATTTTGAAGAAAAGACCAGCATGTAGGGAATAACATCAAGGAAATAAGAGAGCAGAACTGTCCAATTCAAAGGAACAACAATGTGAAACATGATTTAATTAAAGAATACTGGATAGAGATTTAGAGTCTGTAATGTATCCATAATTAATTAACATAGTCAATTGTGAAGTCCAGAAATATGTTCATTTTCATGTAATGTTTCCAAAACCATCTGTCACGTTTTAAAGTTTAGCTGTCTTAATTCTTCCATGGTCCGCTATTCCTTTCCATATCAATTTCAAACTTCCCCAAGCCAGAATGTGTTGGGATTACAACCTCCATAATCCACATCCAGAATTCCCAGTAACAGCAATAAGAAGACCAGTGTTGGTTCACTTTTTTTTTTTCAAACGCTTTGGACTGCAACTGCCTTCAGCCTCAATTGACCTGGTAAATGCTTGGAAATAATAGAAAATATAATCCAGGGTATGAAAAAACAAAACCCATCCCAGATGAAAAAAGATAATGTAGAAATTTCTCAGATACTTAGTGCAACCCACAAACATGGACATTAACTTCATCTGAGATGGCAAAGTTTAAAAACTTGCAAGAACTAAGAATCCCGAACAACAATTTACAACACAGTCCCTTTCAGCAGTTCTGAGAAGGTTCCACACCCTTTTGTGTGGAACCTTCTCAGAACTCAGTGCAATGAGTTCAGTGCAAATGGGTGTGGGACCTTCTTGATTCCAAAGGAGAAGACAAAAAAGACAAGCACTTGTTCCTCATTGTTCAGAAATATAGAACCTGGAATTACTGAGTTATGGGAGGATAAAGCCTGCTTACGTGCTATAAAACTTTCTGAAAATAAGAATTGTTCAACAGTGGAATTCACAAGCTAGGGCAGTGATGATTAATCCCCTTTAAAGGATACTTACAGACCCAGAATGGAGAGTCATCTGAATGGGCAGGTTTGAATTCCTATACTAGAGCTTTTCTAATTCTACTTTGCTAAAGTAGAACTCTAGACTCAAATATTTCACTACAGGTATTATCTGTTAATTACTATCAATCCCAGAAGCAGAAAATAGCAGATCTTAAATGCAGGAGACAGTTATCAATGGCTGTCCAGTCTCTTCTTTAAAACCTCCAATGTTGGAGCATCCACAACTTCTGGAAGCAAGTCGTTCCACTGATTAATATTTTTAACTGTCAGAAAATTTATCCTTATTTCTAGTTTGGTTCTCTCCTTGATTAGTTTCCACCTGTTGCTTCTTGTCCTACTTACAGGTGCTTTGGAGACTAGGATGACCCTGTCTTCTTTGTGGCAGATATTGGAAGACTGCTATCATATCACCCATAGTCCTTCTTTTTATTAAACATACCCAATTCCCGCAACTGTTTTTCATATGTTTTAGCCTCCAGGCCCCTAATCATCTTTGTTGCTCTTCTCTGCACACTTTCTATACTCTCACCATCTTTTTTAATACCACGGCTATGAAAACTGGACATAGTATTCCAAGTGTGATCTTACCAAGGCATTATCAAGTGGTGTTACCACTTCATGTGATCTTGCTTCTATCCCTCTGTTCTTGTGTTATAGTCTACATCTCAAAAAGGAACTGTGGAGAAGGAACTTCTTTGATTTCTTCATCTTAAGACAGAAGAGGGGCCAATTTTCCATCTTAAATGCCTGCACATTACATGCTCCCTTCCTTTCTTTCTTAGTGGGGCGGGAAACATCTGCACCATTAGGCGTCTCCTATGATGTTACGTGCCAGCCTGACTGACTCCGACATCCCCTGTGGATTCAGATTCTGATGATGTCCATCACATCTAACATCTAACCACAGTTCAGGCAGAAGAAAGAAAGAAAGAAAGAAAGAAAGAAAGAAAGAAAGAAAGAAAGAAAGAAAGAAAGAAAGAA